TTCAACTATTAAACAAAATACAAAAACCATTTAATTTATTTGAACAAAATATCTCGACTACTGCGAATAATATGCATAGTATACAGGTTAAATAAAGGAAACGTTAAGCATATTAATTGTTTCTTTTTTTCAATATCATTATTATCTATCATTTTTGAGTCTTGTATATCTTTCATTTTACAACTAATAAACCAGAGACAGAATTCAAACAAAGAAAAATAGAATGAATTTTGTTAAAATGAAAATGAAAATTAATGCTGTGTTTGTTTAAAATAGGAAGATTGTATGGGATATATATACTTTATTCTTGTAACTCTTTTCATTCTTTTTTTCCTTTAATTTTTTGTTAGCCACATTTTTTAACATTTAAGTATAATTTACTGCGCCTTTACAGTGATTTCAATCAATCATTCAAGCCTTTCTTATAAAATGTACGTTTTTCCATATTTATATTTATACGTATCAATATCAAGATATCTATATGTAAATCAAGATTACATCATGATATATCGAGAACAAATCAAATCGGACTAATCGGACTTTGAAAAATATCATTGTGAGATCGTTGTATTTTGTTGTCATTTAGTAGTAGTTGTTTCTAATCTTGCCTTTCTTCTCTTTCTCTCACTTCCTCTCTTTTTTCTCTTTTATATTTCCCTTTTATCTTTTTATACTTCGTTTTACTTTATCAAATTTTATTTTATTTACTAACTTTATTTTTATTTATTTATTTACTTAAAAACTTTATCTTACTTTATTTATTTATTTATTTTAACTTTAATCTTATTATTTATTTATTTATTAGAGTGATGCTAATTTTCACCAGGGGGAAATTTCACCGTAGGCAGAATTACATAATTCCTGGTCAATTATTAATTATTTTAATTATTTATTTATTGATTATTTATTTATTTTGTTTTATTCTATCATCGATTACCTCATAAAAAAAAGAGCGTGTAAATATTACCAAATCAAGTATGAGAGTACACCATACATACAAAACTATATATATATAGAGTATATGAATATATATATATATATATATAATCTAAATATATAAAACAAATGCTTATAAAATACTTTAATCAAATTATATAATACTTTATATAATATATTTTATATGCCAAATAATGCAGATCACATTATTAAGCTTCAAGATAAAATTCTTTATTAATATCTTTTCAATAACTACAAATAATTATAACCCTTTTCTATAAAAAAAAATCGCACCACTGATCTGTGGCTTATTATTGATTAATTAACGTAATTTTTTGTCTTTTTTTAGTACTAACTTTATTTCATTCAGCTATATATTCTTTTACATTTTATAATTTTATACGGATCAAAAAGAAAGTTTAAATAAAACCGTGTCATGAATTTTTTTTTTAATGAAAATAGAAACAAAAGATTGTATAAATAATTAATTAAAATTGAAAATTTAAGATAAAGTCAAAAATTTTAGCTAGTTTCAATAACAATGAAGACCTTATACATAAACAAAAATAATCGTATTAATGTAATGGTTAAGGAAATATGATAATAGAAGATCATATTCATTAATCATATTATTAAATTCATTAGTAAATTTATTTGTAATAAAATTCTTATGTCATGAAAATGGATCTCAAATTATTCTTTAAATAAAAAAAATGAAATTGATGAAAGGGAAAGTAATCCAGTAATTCAAGTAACTCTCTATTGCATTCAACCCCTTCTATAATCACCCCTTCGGGATCATTTAATAATGTGACACAGTGAGGCGTTCATATATATCACTAGTATGATTATATAAGCTTTAGAGGAGGTATTGAATATTTTTATAAATCATCAAATATTTATAAACTACAAACTCTTATCATTATATAAATAATACAGTTGAAAAATACAGTACACAAAAATTCCCTTAATAAATAGTAAACATTATTTAATATTTTTTTTTAGCATGATAAAAAGGAATGTTATGAAATTTTAATTAATATTATTAATATTGGGGAAGGCTATTACACCAATAATATTTTTTTTGGTAACTTACATAATCCAAACAGAGAGAAAAGTTGTTGATGGAAAAATTACAAACAATGCTTATAGATTTTTGGAATACATAAGAATAATCATCATACATTTAGAATGATCAAATAGCCCAGACGGGATTGAATGAAATGTTTTAATGCACAAAAGATCTAAACTGATTAGAGATATATTGAAAAAGGAGATTGATATGAAAGAAATTGAATATTAAATTAATTATTTTACAATGTAATAAAAATTATAATCTGGATCATTTTTTTTTTGTTTTTAATTACAAATGATGATCAAAAAAGATTTGATTCAAAAAAAATAAAATAAAATATATATTGTATTGTTTCAAAACTATTTTAAATGAAAATCCTACAAACAAAATGATAACGAGAGGAAATTAAGTCCATATTGAATATATTGAATTTAAATTATTCTGTATAGAATTCGAAAGTTACGAAATTAGGAGAAGAAAATAATAATATATTAGGTAATGTTAATCCCCACGAAATTATTGATAGCACAAAATGACCTATATTATAAATATACTTATATCCAAATATATAGATAAAATAATAAATAAATCATCATAATAAATAAATAATTATAATAAATGGTTATAATAAATAATATAAATAAATATACGATCTATATTTTTTTTTGTTCTGCTATTGTAATGTCAAAAAAAAAAAAAATTTTTAAGAAAAAAAGATTGTAAAAAAAAAAAGATTAAAAAAAAAGCATGTGCTGATGAAAAAATCTCGTGGTTAATTGCTTTAAATCAACAATTAAACATGAGCGACAAACGAGAGAATTTTTAATATATCCCAATATATACATAAATTTTAACAATGAAATACTCACGTTATACATATTATCGTTCATTAATAATTATTAAATAATAATATGAATAAAGAAATTTAATTGGTGTTTTCTTAATAAATAATGTATGAATAATTATATAAATAATAATAATAATAATAATAATAATAATAATAATAATAATTATTATTATTATTATTTTGTCATCATTATTATTAATTATTATTTTCTTGTGGGAAGAAAAGGAAAGAACCTTTTTTTTTTTTTCTGTTCCTAATTTATTTAAAATAAAGAAATAATGAATGAATGATGATGATGATGTTAATGTAAATATAAAATTAGTACATTTTTTACTTTTTTTATTGTTTATTTAGATGATTGTTGTTATTTTTGATGTTTTTTTAAAAGTATTTTTAAAAGTATTAGTGAAATGCGACTTATGCGACCTTTGATCCTTGTGTTTGTTTTAAATACTAAATTGGAATACATTTATCGAAATTCATTATCAGAATACATTATTGGGATGCAAAAAAGAAGCATACTTTTAGTATAAAAACTAAATATGAACAATACAATAACTTGACAATACTTGTTCTTTTCAACTCTTTGCGACTTTGCAACTTTACGGCGACAATAAGTGACAATATGGTGGCATAATAACAAACAACGAAACAGCAACAACAATAATACTTGATAAAACATTAAAAAAAAAAAATTTTTTTTTTTCGGACGAGTTTTTTTTTTTCCAATAAAGAACTTTTTTTTTGATATTTTATATATCTTTATTTAATTTCGATAATTTTCAATATTTTTTTTTGTTTCAAATTTGGTTTTGTTTTTGTCAATGAATAATTATACTAATTTAGATCTCAAAAAAAATTAGACTAAAAATATTTTACACAAAGAATATCAAAAATTTGGAAAAAAAAAAATCCAAAAAAAAAAAAAAAAAAATTGGTTCATAATTAAAACTTGTATGTTTTTGGTGGTGAAGGAGGAGGAGAGAAATTAATGGAAGTAGTTTGATGATAATGATTTTTTTTGTGATGATTATGATGATGATTGATGATGATATGAATTATTTATAATTATCTTAAAATGCTTGTGATTTATGTTGTTGAAATGAAAAATAAAATCTATATTAAAAATTATGGTAAAAAAAATTATCTATATTAATTTGTATTATTTTCATGGTTGTAGTTGTAATCTATTAAAAAAAATGCATGTGTTGTGTGTATATAATGAAGAATATGCTTCTATATAATAAAGTTTATATTATATGTACAATCTATTAAAAAAAAAAAACGGGAAAGAGAAAGAAAAATATTAATCTAGCGATTAATTACGATATATTATATTAAGAATTAATAATAAAAAAAAGAAAAAACATAAAAATTAAAAAAAAAAATATAAAGAAATTATATTAACAAAAGAAATTTTTTTTGTGTTTGTGTACGTGATTCCTTCGAAATTGTATTTATAAATCGATTCGTTAAAAATTTCGTGTTTGTGTTTGTGTTTGTGCTTTTGAAAAAAGAAGTTTTAATTCGTAATGACGAAAAATTTGAAACGTAACATTAAAAGAACGTAAAGAATGTATATAGTTGGTATAAAGAACATAAAGATCATTAATTAAAGAAAAAAAGAAGAGTTGAATAAATAACCAAACCAGTTGGTCCTGCATTCAACCAAAAGAAGAAAATGCGAAAAAATTATAACTATATACAAAGTAATTTAATTTTTTTTCTTTCTCGATATGATATCTCGTTTTTTTTCGAAAATCTATAATTATTATGAATGAAAGTGTTTACAAGGGGGGTTTTTTTTTTTGTCTATCCCACAATATTATTATTTTGTTTCAGTTTCAGAACTGTTTTTTCTTTGACACCGCGTCAAATCAAAAAAAAAACTGAAAGTTGTGGTTATTATTAATAATTCGCTGAATGTGTGAAAAAGCAAAAAAAAAAAGAACTATATATATATATTTATATAAATAGTAGTAGTAGTAGGTAGTGGTAGTAGTAGTAGTAGTAAAGTATAGTATAGTATAGTAAGAATGGGTAAGTGAGGTGTATAATAATAAGAATAATATTATTTGATTGTGTCTGATTATTGTCTTATTGTCTGATCGTTATTATTATTATTATTATTATAATTTATCTTTAACGAAAGGTCCTTCCCACTTTTACCCAAGTTAATCGTAACCAAAGTTTGAAACCAGTAAAACTTCTCTTTGGGTTATAAGATTCAAAACTATTTCTCTTTCGTTGTTTTTTATTTTGTTTACAATTGATATTATGACAACATTGATTGTTGTGATGGTGATGGTGATGATGATGTATTTCTGTGGTTCCAGAATATGAATTATGAGAATTTGAATGTGAATGTGAATGATTATTTGAACTTGTGGTTATTGTGGTTGTTGGATAATAACTATTATATATTTGATCAGGATCTATTCTTAAATCCGTTGAAGATATACTATAAATCGAACTTCTCCTTGATGAATAAGCTGTTGGAGTTTCAGTTGTGGCTGATTGAAAATCATAATCAAAATCATGAGGAATTCCTCCTAAAGCACTTATAACATTTTGTTGATGAACACTGTGAGAATGTGATGTTGATTTGCTTGATGAATTTCTCTTTTTGAATGGGTTGTGAATTTTTCGGTTACGTGAGAAATTTGGTAATTTGGTAATCTTCATTTTTGTGATAGTTTTTTTTTTAAGTGGTTTTCTGCGGTAAAAGATTTTGTTTCTGCGGTATGCTTTGTGAGTAGACTTTATTTGGTAAAATAGAATAAATTTTATTTCTGCGGTATGTTTTTTTTTAAAACAGACGGAATTGAAAAATCGTAACGAGTATTTATATAAAGAAAGAAGTCGTCAAAATATATATTCTTTTTTATATAAACGTATCCTTGTTTGTTGTTTTTAGAAACAAAGGAAAATAATAGCTACAAAACTGTTATGGTTACAGAGAGAATTTATTGGTTCGAAGATATATATAAAAGATAAAAGATAAAATATATATCGTTTATTGGTTTATGAAATAGAAGAAGAAGGAAAAAAGTTTTTTTGGTTTAAAATTTTTTATTAAAAAAAAAAAAAAAATTAAAAAATAAAAAATTAACGAAAAAGATATAACTATAATACTAATAGTAATAATAAGTGACAATACTAAAACTAAAACTAACTTGAGGAAGATGATTATAGAGAGATATTAATATAACTGAAAATGTTATGAGAGAGAACACACCTCTTGTTGGGGGGTGAGAGTGAAGAAGAAGATGGGATATCCAGAAATGTCGGCTTAAATTTATAGAATTTTTTTAATCTGAAACTCATATATATATATATATTTTATTTTACATCTAAATTTTATATTATGTTACATATTAATCTAACAGTAATATTTATAATATAATTTAAACTATTGAAAATTATTTTATTTCGTTTTATATAGTCTATTTTAGTTTATTTGGTTTATTTATTTGGTTTATTTAGCCGTGTTTAAATTATTATTTAATACAGCAGAGAAAAATCATCAGCAAAAAAAAAAAATCATCAAAACCTGAAATAGAAGTTACTTGAGACTTGATGTTACTCAATATATTTAATATAAATTTCCATTCTTTAATAAATAGATAAGAATAGATGTATATTTATAGTATATTATTTATTATTATTTATTATTATTTATATATTTTATTCAAAGTATAAATAAAGAATTTTATGTCCTTTATTAATTATCTTTTACACGCCTCAAATAATACTCGAATTGTAACAAAGCAAATAATCAAAATAATCAAAATAATCAAAAATAGTGATCAAACACATAAATAAAAAAATTTTTTTTTTTTTTTAGAATATAGATTTTCAAATTTATATAATAATTTAGATTATTTTTGTTACCGTGCACTCTCTGTTAACCTCTATTAAATTTATTTTAATAATAAAAAATTATTAATAAAAATTATTAATGAAAAAATTTAATTATTAATAAAAAAAATTAACAAAAGATTACGAAATAAAAAAAGTTTTTTTTTTTTTTAATACATTTGAATCACATTAATCATATGTAATTCTGTTTACACATTATGATGGAATTTTTTTTGACAAATTAATAAATGATATATAACAAAAATTAAGACTCACCACCTGATTTCACAATATTAAAATTCAAATTTCGGTGGAAAATTTCTATTATCTCTCAGAGAAATATATAATTATAACAATACCGCGTGTAATAATAATAATAATTAATAATAATCAATAGAGTGTAATAATAATGATAGTAATAATAAATGAATGATAATAATTAAATAATATTGATAAAAACCACTAAAATCATTACTATACTATATTTTATTTTCTATTTTTCTATTTTTCTATTTTTTTCTCCGTAGATTTCGGAGAATCATTGATTTGAAATTTAGCGTCGGACAATATTAAAATTACCATTTTTGTTTAAACCTTGCATTCTTTCATGATATATTTATTAATTATTATTATAAAAAAGTCAAAAAAAGTTAAAAAAAAAAGAGGTTTATAGAATCCGCTTTAATAATTTTCGTAATACAATGCTATTAGTAAAATGCTAATTAAAAGGTTAGTAAAATTCTTACGATGATAGGAAAAGGCTGGTAGAACGTAGTAAAATGTAGTAAAACGTAGTAAAATGCAGTAAAATTCGACAAAAATGATAGAAAATTCTTATATTAAATTGCCAGTAAGAGGTTTATACTGAAATGAAATCGTGTAATGTAATAATCTTTTGAATTTAATCGTACTAATCATCGTGTAATCGTGTGATCGAGAGAGAGGAAGAGTAGAAGAGAAGATGATGATAGGCACTGATAGAGGATGAAGAGGATAACCTTGTTGTTCCTAAAGTTTTGGTTGGTTGGTTCTTCGTTACTTTAGTAAATTGATGTTGATTACTATATATTTATTATTATTATTACGTATTCATTATTAATGTATTCATTAAAACAAATAAATAAAACCAGATCGATGATTCGTTTATTTATTATGTATGATAGCAAACGAACGTTGCATTGACATTAAAATTCAAATTAAAATTCAATTAAATTAAATTTAATTTACTTTTATTTATTTATAGCTTGATAAATTATTGTATTATTGTATTATTTGTATTATTTATATTATTTATATTATTTATATTATTTGTATTATTTGTATTATTTGTATTATTTGTATTATTTGTATTATTATCAAGTATACCAAAAAATTGATAATGTTTTTAATAGAAGATTACACGCACGCTTTCAGCATCTATCATTCCTGGTACAAGAAGGAATTTAAAATATAAAAATATAATCATTAAATAAATATAAAATTCTATTATTAATATAATTTTTTTTGTTTTCCTATCTCTAGTTTATTGAATTGAATTGAATCTTATTAATCTATTAAATCTTATTAAATCTTATTGACTTATTGAATCAAAATAAAGAAAGAAGCATTAATAAATTATTTAATCGATTTAAAAATTTTTTAATTCGTTCAAAAAGTTTGGCATGAATCTTTACATTATCATATACATATTTGTATTTTGTCAATTGAATTACAAACGTATTACATAACATAGATACATAATCCATTTTTCGATGCACATCATTTTTGATACACATTATTTTTATACACTCGTACCACCCACACCTTTTCATACAACTTTTATACAACACACGCTTATTACAACACACTTATTACAACATACACCTCATACACACAGATCCTCATACAAAGTATGATTAAAGCCATAAAACTCGTAAAATTAGGTTTGCAAATTAAAAACAACAACAACAATAACAAACCAACAACAACAACAACAACTAGAACATCACCGTCACCACAGATGTCATCCGCCACGAGAATAAATTTGGAGAATAATAATAAAAAATAATAGAGATAATAATAGCAATAATGATAATAATAGTAATAGAGATAATAATAGTAATAGAGAATATAGAATAATTAAATAATATTAAAATATCAAAATAATACTAAATTGAATATGTAATAATTAGAAACATAATTCCATATTTAGTAAATAAAAGTTAATCATAACCATTATTTTCCTAAATCATAAAATAATCAAAATTTTTTAATAATAAATTACTGAATGGTATCATACAAGTACTAAATTAGAGTAGAATTAGTACAAATTAAAATATAAATTAAAAATGTGAATACAATGTTCTTGAAATTTATCTATATTTATCCTTTAATATTTTAATAAATATTTGTAATATTTATTTGTGTAAATGTATGGTAGCGGCGGCGGCGGCCTAGTAAGTAGTAATAGTATACCTGATAATTTTTTAATATTTACTTATTACAACAAGTGTATGCGTATACGATATGATATACAGATATACATGTATAAATAAAACTTTGTAATTTGATGCGCATCGTTTTATGATCTCAGATTATCAAAAAAAAAACTCAAGTTCTAAGAATCCAAAAGTCTAAATTTCCAAACGAAATCTAAAAATAATAAAAAAAGAATTCATTGATTGTTCGAATTACTATTATTATTATTATTATTATTATTATTATTATTTTATATTGTTAGTAAATGATTGTTTTTTAACGATTGGGTTAAGGAAATCTTGTTTAAAAATTCATTAGTAATATGATTATCAAATTATACTTTAAAACTAAAAATTTTCATGAGGTAATCAAAGTTGTTTAATATATAGTAATGTTATACGAAACAATTGAATAATCAGATACAGTATCAAATATAGTGTCAAATAAATTTCCAAATATAATACAACTATAATATTATTCGGATATTTTTAGTTTGAATAAAAATAATAAATTGAAGAATATCAAAATTTAAAAATAACAATTAATTGAGCAAGAAAATATTTTCTATACAATCTATATGGAAAGGGATTACTGAAATGCGGAGAAATGATTGAGAAAAAAAAAAAAAAAAGAGTGGGAGAAATAATGAAAGAAGGAAAAAATGATGGAGAATTTAATTAATCTCCCTATAGAAATTTATGATATCATCGTGTAGACATACATAACGGACATTTTATCCCCATTTATTCCGAAAGTTACTCCGAACGCTTAAAACGTATATAAAATGAACTATATACAGTGTATAAATTTTCTATATTAGACTATAGATCATCGAAAATTTGTTAAATTAAATTATCTGTGCGTACGCAACTTCTCATTCTTTCTTAGAAAACTAAAACTTTAGCATTTTATTCATGCACATACACCAATTCTGTTCATCAATTATTCAATTCATTACTACTACTACTACTACTACTATTATTATTATTATTATTATTATTATTATTACTATTATTATTATTATTATTATTATTATTATTTATTATTATTATTATTATTACTATTATTATTATTATTATTATTATTATTATTATTATTATTATTATTATTATTATTATTATTATTATTATTATTATTATTCAATTCATTCGATTCATCCAGTTACTTCTCTGGATAAAATGGCTTATCAATCGGGACATGGACATTATACCGAACATTTACAATTAATTATAAATAGAAACTGATTAATTTTAGAATTTTGTATCTAAATACTAAATTTACTTTAATTAAAAAGATATTTTATTTTATTTTTTTTTTTTTTTACACATTATTATTAGTTATTCCATAACAATTAATAATTGGATCAT